AGACAGAGTAGCTCTCCTTTCGCTTATGCTTCTTCTTCTTGTCTCCTTTTTGGTAGAGATCTAGAAACACTAAATGGAACATGATGGGACCCCGTGTTTTCGTTTTTGTGATAAAATCAGCTGCTTCCAAAATTTCAGCATCCTGATCTTCCTCTCGAGGTGAACACAAATCGTCGAGCGAAGCCATATTTGGTGCCTCGAATTACCCTCCTTCAAAGACGGAAAAGTCAGTCAAATGAGAGGAGAATCAGTTTCTTACTAAAGAAATCACATGCACTATTCAACATATATTTATTAAGCAAAGCTGTTAATGCAGAGCATTGAAGAGCAGCTGCACGATTTGAGGCATAACGACAACTCGCTTTCAGTTTAATTCGACAACTATCAAAAAACAAATTGAATCCAAGAAACACCGAGAAAACAAACTGGCGCTTGAGAACCAGGTGCACAAACATTCAAGTTTTACAAATCGAATACAAATATAACGGGAAATACTGATAGAGGAGCAAGCTTTGATGGGAAAAGAATGTTTGGAAAGCACCGGCCGGCTATATTACAGCTATATTGTACACATACTTGGCAAAAATCGCATCGTGGCAGTAGCGACATTAAAGATATACATTGCATAATAAATACATATCGTAGAAACGTGTGATTACGTAGCTCTAATGCGTAAAATCAAATGATCTAAGTGGTTGAAATACCATTATTCCACCATGCAAGAATAAAGGATTCAATATAAAACGTTATCACTGATGGGTTACCAACTGAAAATGTATCAAAATAATACTTTCTGGCACAAGTATATGAGAGATGCTGGTTACATAATAAAAAAAACTGTGAGAAAGTCGTAAGAAAAGAGAGAAGGCTGCAGAGAATTTCGACTAGTACATCGTTGCACATAGCGAGTGACACATCAGGTTGCACAGCGACCAAGCCAATGGAAACAAAAAATAAAGAGAAAAGAAACACGTCGAAAAATTACTTGCACACACACAAATTGAGGTACGATCGCGGTATTGATGATCGCCAATAGAAAGCTTCACGTGAACACAGCACTTGGAACAAGGCCTTCCTTTGAGGTGATCCCCGGCGTCAGATTTGCTTTGCATAAGAAATTCAACGGGAACTCCACCAGTACACCTGAATGACGAGACATTTACGTGCCTTAATCATTCGTAAGGATTCGCAGCCCTTTGGAATAGGATTACCTTTCTGATATTGCAGTCGTGCCCAAACTGTGCACAACGAAGCAAATTTCAGAATGATATGGAAGAATCACACATACCATTCAAATCTCTGAGCTTTTCCTTAGCTTGCTGAGGTGAGTACTCTGCCAAAGGCATTTGCCCTGTCCACTTTTCGAATTCTTCGAAAGTCTCCACATTGTCGGTTGGATATGTTCGGAATACCTTGACAAGCAGATATGAAATTATTTTACAGATTTGAAGGAAGCCATTTTCACCCACTTCTTCATAAATTAACATATTGGACCTTGCGGTATTTTGCCACACGTCAACAAAGAACGATTCTGCTACAGGATCGTCCAAGGAGACATCGTACTTGAAATGTGAGGGACGTCGTGCATCCGGAAGTAGACCCAGGTGCTCCTTGAAATGATAAGCAGTTACTAATCCTGGGGTGTTGACTGTGATGACAAAAAGAAATAAAAAATTAGGAAGGTACTCAGCCGCAACAGAATGTAAAAATTCCTCTCAAGTCAGAGCTACGATCCCAAAATATCGCGGCTAGAAGATTGACCTGATTCTATGGAGAAATTAATGGTAAGCTGCTTGCCCAGTAATCCCTCGACCTACACGCCCTCTCAAAAAAAAAAAAAAAAAACCAAGATGAATTTCCCTAATAGCATTCCTGCGACGGAGGAGAATCAGAAGGTAAGAATATGAAGTTATTGGCTACCTGCATGCATCGCACTCGTAGAGATTTTGCAAACTTCCCAGCTGCGTACGGTCGCCCGTTCATGATTGACGGCTCCTTTTCAGTGTCGGAAAATAAAAGGCACACTTCAGAATCTCGATTTCCGACCTGGAAAACGCTTATTAAAGAATTACGAATAAAAATATAAAGAGACGTATCGTGTTACCTGCGATCTATCGTTTATATTGGCAGATCCAATTATAACATGCTCGTCGTCGACTATTAACAACTTGCAATGTACATATATCAACTCAGTCACCTGAAAAGATTATAAATATGGAAAAAAAATGAATAAACCACCAATTTCTAGGATAACGGTACTGACCAATTTCCCACAAAGGACGTCATTCGATCGCAAAGAGCACACAGAGATGTAATCGCGTGGATTGGGTACAACCTGAATCAGTATCCATCTAAAACTTCTAATTTTACTTTTTAAACCATATCCTATCGCTCCCTCTATTAATCTGAACAGCATTTTTTCTAGAAAGGCCTCTGTGAAAAAGGATGGCAATTGAGATACAGTGGCGCCATACAAACCTAGGCAGTGTAAGGAAGAACCAGGCACAAACTTAAAGTGTATCGTCTAGTCTAGTGCGAATCAGTTAAAATGAAGTAAAATTCAATAAATTCTCAACTTACCACTTTTAGTCGTTCGAATAGCGAATTCGGGCCACGGCTAAGGGATTGGTAAGTCCAGTGTAGGACGGCTTGTAGAGAAGATCCTCCTGGTGCTCCCACATTACCTTCGAATCCAGGCATCAGTGGGATCATTATGTACACTCGGTATGGTTCCTTTTCTCTTTAAGAAAGAATATTAAGCATCCACCGCTGTGGAGGAATAGTAATCCAGTCAGGACGAACTTATATGCTCGGATCACACGATTGCAGATCACTTTACAAATCTCGTTAAGCACATCGTTCGAATCGATCATAGAGACAAAGAACTGATTTTCGATGTAAATGAAATGCTGAAAGGAAAACATGTCAAAAAGGAGAGAATAGTGAAACTCCACTTGATGATTTCGATAACTACCTTTGAGTTAGCAATGAGCGAAAGGTAAGCCATCTGTATCGAATCTTCTGTTTGATTTATCAATCCTGACCAGTTCGAGAGTGAGCGTAAAACCTGAAGCAAGCGAGTTTAAGTGGGTAAAAAAAAGCTGCTCTGAATGAGCGCTGTTCTTCTATCAAACAAGGGAGGTCTTTCAACTTGTGAAAAGGTCCTCGAATTTTAAAAATTAAATGATCGCATCGCATAGGGAAGCATTGGGTTGGCTCCAAACTGTACTTTGTTGTTGCTGCGAGCTATCTGGGAGTTTGATAAAGTATTGCCAGACGGCAGGTTTACCACTGTTAATGCATTCATCAGAATTCAGCCCTCCACACAGAATGTATATGCTATTTGTCAAATATAATGCTAATGTTTGTCAAGATAGATTTCAAGCACAACATGAGTAAAAAGAGTCCTGAAAGTGAATTTCATCGATGATCATTTTCAATCACTGTTAATGGCCAAAATAACTGAAGGCTTACTTTTATAATCCTTAAAGCACCTCATTATCTAGCAAACAACAATCTGTTAACATTTACCACGAAAAGAAAAACTTTGAGTACGATATTCGTAGCGTATCCTTCAAAATCCAGGCTTTTATGAAAAAGCTTGCAATAAAAAGACACTTCAAGAACGAAGGTGCAGATATGAACTAAAACCTTCGAACAATTTTTTCAACTTCTCTGTTCTGCTTAATTACTTAATATGAGCAGATTTGGGTTTTGTTGGATCTTCTGCTCCCTTTCAAGTCTAAAAAGGTATGAGGCTTCTGACTTGCACACCCACCTACTATGCGACTTTTCCCTCAGGCGTTTTCGCCATTGCCTAGAGTAGTTACTGCAAACAGCAGCAATTACCAATGTCAGACTTGCTGAAGACTTTAGTAGCGATGCGTAGGTTTGAATCATTAGCTTTGTTAATCAAATTAGGGGAGTGGTTGGAGCGTGCATGTGGTGTGACATAAAAGATGATGAGGCCCCTAGGGAGGTGTTAAAAAAGGTCTTGAGTACTTGCTCTGCTTAATTGATTACTATGAACATTACTTTGATTAGACCAGTACAACTCAAAAATAGGAACGGACATCACCTCGTATGCAATTTTTGTCCGATATTGGTGGAAAGGAAATAGGCCGTGAAGTAACGAGATGCAGAACAAGGAGAGCAAGCAAAAGGAAGCCAAAAGCAGACTTACTTGAATGTCAACGTTATAGCTAAAAGCTGGATTCTTGAACACACGAGGCACTTTCAGATTTTCGTAACTTTTTGGGAGGAGATAAGGGAGACTTTCATCATCCTAAACGATTCAAAAATGAAGCATTTTAAAAAAATGACAGCTCTAACTTTCAACCACTGAAATGACTACACAGTACGATATAATTCCAAAAAGCTTTCAAAAAAACATTGAAAGTCTGAATAATTATCGAAACCTTGAGCTTTTCCGTCTTGGTCGCATTCCATCGCTGAATAAAATGCCTGGCGACATCTCTTGCAGGTACTCCGAAGGTTACAGAATGGATGTCGTGCCATGGCATTCGAGGTGTAGCACCGCGATCGATGAAATCTAATAAATTATACGATCACAGGAATGAAGAAGAGAATCGCAAACGACGATTGTTTGAAGAAATAGACCAAAATAAAAAACTGAGATAATCGAGTGATCATATCGACCATTCTATTGAATAACCTTAGTCGATACTTTCATTACTTGAGCACACAAATTAGCCTCACTCGCTATTAGCCCACGCTTTGATTGAATCGCTAACTTTTAACCTTTACCAGAGCAGTTCTTCGAACGCCTTGTCCTCAAGATCGCGATAAAAAATCCCGAACTCTGGGATTTTGCTAATGACGAATACTAAATGATGGGTGTTTGAAGTTGCTGCCCTACAAGCAAGCCGTTTTGGCGTGCATTTTNTTTTCACTTCGTCCGCTACAAAAGAGGCGATGGCTTTATAACTGGCGCTATCATACACTTTGATAGCATTTCATTTTCAAAAGGACAACAAGGTCCTGTAAAAGGACTACTTCCCTAAAGTAAAAGGTTTTCAAGTGTGAGGATCAGATACCAACTTCAACAAAAAAAAAGACATTTAGATCCTGAGCAGTATATTCAAGAGGAACCTTAGCCGACAAGCAAGTGGAAACCTAGCACTCACAAAGAAAAGGAATGAAGTAAATATACGCGAAAAAAGAAATTACCATGGAAAGGCAGATCGACTTCGACAAAGTCCTTGTGAATGTAATTCACGTAATCCTTTCCTATCCACAACTTCACACCACCATCTATAGAGTCTTTATCTTCAGAATCCATCTGTTTCAGACGTAGAAAATCTAGCTCATAACCAGCTGTCACCTCATCGGAGTCTAGCACCTAAAGAGGTAACGTTTGCTAGATTACAGTCAGGCTGACAACCAATAAAATACACTGTACAAGAGGAAGAAATATCTATGCCAATCAATTTGACCTGCTTCCACTTTTTTCTGGCTCTATTGCTCTTCCAGTTGTCAACCACTCTGGAAAACCGACTTTCACGTCTTTTCAACGGTGGAGTCTGAGAGCGATGTTTTTCCTGCAATGAGAAGAAGGGAATCACTCGATTGTATGAACGGAAATTCGAAACTAAAGCTTTTTTGATCGCGTCCTTTCCTTCATAGAAACGACAGCTTCCATTCGGATTACTAAGCTTTGACATCCTACCTTTTGCACTGCACCACTTTCGACATATTCCTTGTACTTTTCCACAGCTGTTGAAAAATCCAATCCCATTTTCGTGGCTTTATCGAGTACGGAAGGTGGTGGACCTGCTTTGTCAAGCATGTCCAATGGTGCACGAGTCCGAGCAGTAGCCGACGCAGCGCGACGAACATGCTTAAATTGTCAAATTGCTCTCGATAAAATCACCGAATTACAGTTTAAAGAAGCCCTCGGAATTTACAGGGAGAGGGAGGGGGAGTAGGGAGGGGGAGGGTAATAGCATGCAGAGAAACTGAGCTTGTCATATTTTATAGCATGATTGTTCACAGAGTGCGGATTGAGAGTGAAAATGAACATAAAATGAGATGTGGAAAAAATGATAGGCCAGTATCAAAAGGTTCAAGTGCAGGTGGATAGTTCATGAAACCTCAAATGAACCAAAAAGCATTACAAATAATAACCTCTCACGAACCTCATCAGCATTCTGGAAGTATTTATAACAAATAAATGGTACACATCGGAATACATGAATGGTTCCCGATCTTACCTTTTTTCCTTGTGCATCTTCAACTACACTTAAGAAAGTGAGCTTCTTTCCGGAGGCAGCAGCTAATCGAGAGCCTGTACTTCGCTGAGAAGCAGGTGGGCTTGCAGCTGATGGATCAGGTGTTGGCGTTCTCCGCGGTGAGTCCGCTGATACAGAACGGGTTCCTACAAACATTTACCCTCAGAACTGGAACTTCGACTTCACCCAGTTATCGGAGAAGTCAACAATTTTCTATATCGTAAAGAGGCATACCTTTCTTGCTGATGGTTAGCAACACCCCTCCAGTATCTGCATCGGCGTACACAACCTGAAGTGAGAATAAATAGTAAGAGAAGCTTCCCTTCTGCCATGAGAGAGGCTAGATTATTTGTATAAGTTCGAAAATTATTCGCTAAGTTGCTCGACCCCATTAAACAGACTACAAGTAGGCCAATGAGTAGCCACTAGAGCTCTACTTCACACTCGTCAGGTCCAAGGTATTCATTTGTGAGCTTAGAAGTGACGATCACATGCTGACAATTTGTTGGTTATGAAACTTAAATTGAAAAGTTATGCTCATCAACAGCTGAAAACGAAGGTTTAAGAGCCTCTAGCTTTAAAATTGTACCTGAAATTAAAAAACAAAAGGACTCAGTTGGAGTTAGAACTACAGGATCGGTGCTGCAAACAGTTTTTGATGAAGAAAGGTATGCAGTATCGCCTTTCTATTCGCACAGCATAGCCCTAGCAGAGAATCATGAACCGCACACCATCAGGAAATTAAGATCGCGGGTAGATTTGAGTTGATGTTCGAAAAATTATGGGATAAGCAATATTACTAAGTAATAGTTGTAAAAACAGTAACCATATACTTGCCGAAACAGAAAATATGGACGAAAAATATTTACCTGTTCATCTTCAGCAGCCTTGTTCGTATATGCAGACCCGTCCTTCTCAACGTTACCTATTGCAATTGTGGTCACTTGACGAGGCTCTTTCAATGTTCCAACTGTCAAAGTAAACCACTAGCAGCTAAATGCCGGATTCGAAAGGAATAGGTAGTGTTCAAGATGAAAATCGCCAAACCACTAAGAGGAAATTGAGAAATGAGAGAAGTGTTGTACAGCTCTCTAATCGAGGGGGTGCGCTTCGTTGCGCGTGTCCGTCGAAACTAGGTCACGCCGCAGCCGTCGCACGCGGCGAGTCGGCCCGCGATATTTGACAGACGTCGCAATTGTCACTGGGGCATACGCTTTGCGTTTGGTCCACGGCAGTCAGTCCAACAAGAAGATAACACAGACAAATTCAAATCATTTGCTCCAATGACATCTGGTGGTACTGTAATGTCATCTCGAGACCTCAATGTGATGCGCCGCGCGCGAAGTGGGCGGGGTGACCTACTTTCGACGGACACGCGCAACGGACGTTCTCCCTAATCGAGGAGATTCACTTCACTACAGAGTGTACGATAGCCCATGTATTGACATTCTCTGTTGAAATCTTCGATACTGCGAATCAAGATTTTTTCATCTCGTTTCCGCTGGAGGGTTGGCGAAATTTTGTTCTTTGTGGTCGTTATCACTTTATTCTATTCAACTTGACATTCAGACAAAATTTCAGTGACCCTCTGCAAAGAAAAAAGCAATGGAGGATGTGCGATGAAGCTTCACCACTTTGGAGGCGCAGAATTATCATGAAAAAAAGCATCCCCAGATAATGGCATGTACCAAAGAACCCTCTACTCCGTCGACTCTCCTACATAGCATCTCCATTGCAGATGCAAGAAAGTAGAGGGCGGCAAAAGGAAATAGGTATCCATATACATTCATCTGGAGATGGGAAACCATGATCTTCAACATGAACACTACCTCTGGCCAGCGATTTGGGAGATCCTCTGAACTACGCTTACCTTCATTCTTATCCGGAGCTTCGGCACCTTTACTGGAATCAACTTCTTCATTCTCCTCCAAGCCGAGTGGAGATAGAGTAAGTGGAGCGCTAACTAACGCCCTCAACCCGGAAGCCTGCAAGTAAGGAAAATGGAAGTAGGAAAGTCAAATACCACGTGGGTACGAAGGCAACTAGCTTTTGAAAATTGCCATAGGCAGAACAAATGGGAAAAAACAACAGCATTGTCCGCTCAACGTCACAGATCATCAATCCGTCAAAGTCAACAAGTAGTACGAAGACAAAAGTAAGTAAAACCTCTGAAAAACTTACCATGTTGATATCCTGCGTAATAAGGTGCTGCTGACCGAACTGCACTGATCCAAGATCAGTCAAAAGATGGTGGTGGTCGTCCCAACGACCAAAACATAGATCAACTCCGCCAACAAATGCGATAAGTTGGTCAATAATAACTAGTTTTTCGTGATGTGCCCAGAAAAATGTGCCCGTTGATGGATAGTGATCAGGGTGACGCATGACCTGAAGAAGTCTGACATTTATGATAGAACTAGCTAATACCGAGGATTTTTTCTCCAATGATTAACCTTGATGTTTGGGTGGAGAGCCTGGAACGTGCGCTTGCTATACATACTGTTCAGACCTAGAGCCATTTCCATTTCTTTGTACATGAGAATGAAAATGTGTACGCCCTGATTCGCTTTCCTTTTGAGAATTTCATCGAGCCTCCAATAGTTCCCCTCCAATGCTGGTCTCTTCATGTAGATCTAAAAATTGATAGTAACATAACAAAACATTCACGACTATGAAGTGGCGAGAAAGGCAATTGATTTCTCGTTGACCCAACCCAAAGGCGAAGCCAGCACAGCTTCTGTCGCGGCATGGAAAATAGGAAATCTCAGAAAACATTCACACCATTCCCCTTTCCCCACTGCAGCCCAGAAATAAACCCATAACTAAAGAGGATGAGAGCACTTCAATCAATAACAACACACCAGTGACTATGGTTGTTTCCAGCTGACTGATCACAGAATGTGAGAGGAGTGCGATTTTCCGCCTTCACCCAGTACCAAGGTTGGAAACAATTGAAGGGTTAGGGTTTTAACACTTGTGAACAAAAAATTGCAAGATTCCAACTACACAGCAACGGTGGAAGAAAGGTTAACGCTTTTCAGAAAAACAAAATACTCACTTCTGGACTTAACCACCATCCTGCGATGAAGATCTCCTCCCTAGCTAACTCCATCATATCGGCAGCGTGCGACATGTACGAGCGAGCATCAACAAACCTATTAGACATAGCCTTTATCTTTATAAAACTTTAGAACTAGTTCAACAATGGTCCAAAAAAGTCGTTAGCGCAACTATTCAGAAATTTAGGAGGAGAAACGGTCAGAGTGTAACAAGACAACATTGTACTTTCCATTAACTATAAACGCTATGTAGAACTGATTTAAAAAGAGGGCAACGGCAACCAATTCCCGCAGCTTCTGAGGCATAACTGCAGCCCGTAACTTCACCTGAAGCAACCCTGGCTATCCAGTCGAAGGTAAACTTTTTGCGTAATTTGAACACTACTTTTGAGTTATTCGTGGGTAATAATCACGACTGTTGAAAAAGGGTATATCACGGCCTCAACTTCTCTGATAGGTATGCCCTCTATGAATTTTGAGCAGCTCCGGCTTTTTCTGAACATATGGTATGGTTGCACGGTCAATGATCTTTTCTGCGACTTTAACAGCTGTCAATTCCAAGGTATTTACTAACAACAGCTGACAAGTTCATACACCCTCTTCGAAAAAAACACCTACTAACCACTTTCCGTATGACTTCTCTCGGATTGGAAAAGAAGAGCTGAATCGATGTGGCTGAATCCAAATGTTTCCTATACCGTTCATAGCCTCTTCAATGATTGCTTTCCATCGAGCTGTGTCTTCGATGCGCCGGCACTTGAGATGTAACTCACTGAAAATGACTATCATGCAATCTGATCGTAAGCAATTACCCTTATTAAGTGTAAAGTGAACTCACTGTTGGGTATTGAAAATTATAAGACCCGTCGGTATGCCATCAGCTTCCTTTCCGCCTGCAGCTACCTGACAAAAAGATATGGATAAGACCTAAATCTGTGATGATGTAGCATGAAAGTCTTCCTAGTTCTCCATATGGTCGGACGACCTATATATCTCATTAATGCTTCGACGAGACATAGAGGGACTTTACGTCACAATGGCTTGATACATGGAACACTTGAAGCATCACAACAGCAGCTTCGAGACCCTTCCTTATACCCCTCAGAAAAATTTTAATTTTTAGATTGTAAAAATTAAGTATATGCTATCGAATGAGCGTATCTAGCTTATTCAATCGCGAAGAAATAAGAAGCCGCAAAAAAATCCTAGTAAGCATATATGGGTAACATTACTGACTTTGAAATCTTTGTCCATCAGTAGCACCAACCGGATCCGTTCGGTTCTGTGATCCATGTAAGCCACGAAAGAGTCTCGAACCATTAGCCACCTTTACAAATTGATATTTCAAATTGTCAAAAAATTAACACAAGTTATGCAATAAAAGCAATATTGATTGAAGGTGAGTTATATAGAAGACAGGTGACTCACCTCTTGCTCCAAGGAAGAAAATATCGTACACAGCACTGCTTCCAACCAAGAAACACTCGAGCACCACCAGGGCGCTTCTTCACAAAACCTTCAGTGTGCTTTCCGCCCAACTCGTTGACGAAGGAAAAACGAGAAACCTCCAGAAACTCTGCCTGGAAGAGAACACGCGGTAATGCTATAAATAAATAAAACAAAAAAAACTGAAAGCTTACAGTTTCGTGGTGATTCCTGTTAATTGGAATGTGTAGCAGCATTTGAAGCCAATTCTCCAGTTGATCCTGATAATAACGATTTCAGTATTCATTTTTTCGAACTTTACTCGATCAAGCGTACAAAAAAAATTAAGAATGCAAATACAACAAAAAATACAAAAAAGAATTAGAAAGCGCAAATTCGCATAAGCACTTACCTTCCTGGTTTCCAAATTTGATACCATGGAATCAGGAATGATAGGAAAATGGGGCAGGGTATGTTTTTTTCTTGTCCTCCTCTTCTTGGTTCCCCTCTCTTCGGGAGCATCTCCTTCCTCTTGCATAATGCCCGCTAAAATATCCACATTTTGTCTCGTACAGATAAAAAAAATCAAGAAATACCTAAACTAATGTAAGAGCTCACACTGAACAGCTTGAGCTATCTTTAATCGAGCTTCTTCCAACTCAGGCGAAGTGCTCCCGGGCGATGTAACAGATGCAGTTCTCGTGTCTTCGAATGGATCGGCGTCACGCTTCAGCACAGGCAACTAAAAATACGATAGCGATGTGAAGCGCAGGTAAAAGTAGGTTTGCACTTTCCATCTTCATTCAAAGCTTTTTCAATATTTTTATCTCGATAGACCTCGTTCCCATCAATTACGACTACAGAAGTTTCGGTAAGAAGGCCGCAAATAGTAAATACATAATTGTAACTATAGAAAAATAGTAATAGTAACAATGAAAATAACGAATGTTTTTCAAGCAACCGCATAAAAGGAGAAGATTACAATAAAACCTGAATTCGAGATAAAAATACATCTTATGAACTAATTTCTTTCCGAGCAGAATTCCACTATTCAGAAAAGTTAATAGAAATTGCTTTGATATCTTTCGGAATAAAGTAACTGATAGTCGCTTTACAATCGCAGTTTTACGGCAAATTGTCATTACAACCTCCGACACTTGTCCTCTATTATACGACTCCTTCGCCCCTTCTCTGCATTCCCAACCTCCAAAAAAGGAGCGACAGGGAGGTTGAGGTTCGCCGGTACCCACTTCACCTCTTTGGCAAATATCATACCCAATATAATATTCAAATATCGTATATTCCATGAAAGAGGGGCAATACTCCCTCTTTCATGGAATATTCGATATTTGACCTTAGCTGCGACACCAATGAAAGCGCAAACAGTAGAAGGTAACCGAAAACTTTAAACCTTCGAGTCATGTCGTCTGCGGCGATGACTGGAACGATAGTACGGACAGTCCTCTTTGTGATCAGGAATGACATCAATACCGACTGATTCCAACATCGCATCAACACGCTCTTGAGCTCTGCAGGAAGAATTTTAATTAGGCGCTCACAATTACGACTTTTGCTGAAGCTATATAGCCATTCGACACAATACGCAAGTTACAGAGAAGCACGAAACGTCTCCACATGCCTCGTAGAAAAATCGACAACACCGAAACTTACTCATATCTTTTATGATGATATAATCTAAAACGATCGTGCAGTGATCAACGCACGGGAACATGCTACAAGATGAAACAAAACTTCAATAAAATGGAAAAAGGAAATAAACTTAGAAAGCAGCAAAAAAGCAAAGTATAGCGAAAAAAATAACTCAGATAATCATAATGCTCTCCATTTTTTTGACAAAGGATTTTCGTGAACCATTGAGCTGCAGTGCCCAATCACATTCATTTAGTGCAATTATGTAGAAGCAACTGAATGTCTTACTTAACTTCCATGCATGCCGTTTAAAGGAACTACGTAGAACCGAACACTATTTCCCCCTTTTACACATGTTATTCCCTACATATTCTTTCACTTGGCAACCTATTGCGACTTCCTACTCTTACATTATTGACTATTGGCCAATTGTCAGCCAGGGTTTTCGCTTCTGAATCTCAAAAATTGCTCCCATTTTCTGTTGTTTGTTATGATCAAGATTGCTTCAGACGCTCCAGAGAACGTTGTTACGATATCTATAATACTATCATGCGTAGAAGTAGACGAGTCAAATACAACGTAAAGCTACAGAAATGTTAGTAAAAAACCTCAGCTGTCTCCAATTTCCCGCTATTCTCAGTTCGACACTAAGCTCCGAAAAGCCCAACTAAAAACTGTACACTGACGAATCTCCGTTAGAGCTTCACTAAAAAGTGAATTAGAGAAGGTGATTGAGTAATGTTTTTTGGATGTCAGTGACAATATTCCAAACTGATTCGAACCAAATACAAAATTCAATTCGACAAAAAGAAATATCAACCTCCGAACAGGAGCCAGGAATTGTTGTGCAGCTCTGTGCGCCTTTAACCTGCTGTTCAAAGCAGTGAAGTCCTTGTAGTTTCGTACAACACTCCACTTGAATTGTCCATGTTCCAGCTGAATGGTGTACCTGAAAAATATAATCCACAAATGCTTTTTCTGAAAGAAAATTCGCCGAAATCGGGGTTTAAGTTATCTAATCGATCACTGGGTGGCTTAAAACTATTGAACTGTTCTATTACTCTTCCCCCGGAGGAAAAAACAGTAAAAAATCGATAAAGGTATTAAAATCCGAAAAATTGAGATGATAACGATCCCGAAATAAAATATGACGGATGGAATAATCTATGAGAATTCATCAAGCCTGTGTCAAGTACCTACATTTCGAATATGCCTCCTGAAGGAAACAAACATTTTTTTCAGCACCCTTATTATCACCCTTATTGGTGTTTTTATAACACCAATAAGGGTGATATAAAGATATGATCAAACCTCATACATACTTAAAATCAGAGGTTTCCTTCCCTTCTTCTTCACATTTCTAACATTTTACTGATGTTGTACACCTGAATGCAGCCACACACTTCCTGGCCTCATGCCGTAACTCCCAAATGAGCGATGTTGCTTACAGTGATTTTCACCAGTTGGGAAAAAATGAAAATATAATGGTAGGTGGTATGGAATTCGAGGTTTTTACATAAGGAAACTGTAAAATCGTTTCACTCACAGTAACGTGTTGATAAGATGTATCCGCCTATCCGTGTTCCTCTCCACTTTAACAATCTTGGCATTGACAGGGACGCCAGGAATCCAGTATCCTCTTTTACGTGCTTGCGCTTGCGTGTCAAAAACTGCTTCATATGGAATGATCCCTGAAAGCTTGAATTTTGCATAGCTGTTCTTGATATGCCGAACATTTCCATAACATCAACCTCTACCATAAACTGAAAGGCGATCAAGATAGAGTAATTATGGCGAGCTGCAGGTGCAACCATTAATTGGAATTCTCGCAAGCTTGCGTATGATTTAACTTTTTCAACACAAAAGCTCATTCTCAAGAGGCAACAATACTGCTATTGAAACAAAGTATTGTGTAGATCATGTAGGTCTGATGTGACAGCTCATTTTAGGTAATTCTTAGATGAAATTCAATAGCATAATGAGAAAAACACTAGGTAACCCGATCTTGCCTTTGGTAAAACACAGAAAATGGAGGCAAGTATGGGAAATTTTTCTATCAACGGCGAACTTAACACACGAGAAAAACTAAATCTTGAACCTTTTTTCCCTGGCATCCCTGGCAAAGACTGAGCGATGACGGACGCAATACAATCACAATACTGGATCTCATCATCTGACGAGTAGTCATCGCTTTCCTAAATCGAAAGGTGGCACTCGACCAACGCAATTTTCTAGAGGAATGCCCCCAAAAAAGTAGTATAATGAGGCACAAAGGAAAAAATATCCGTAATACTTGCATAGTCATCGGCTACTCCTGGTTGGCCATAGTCACCAGCAGCCGGTTGAGTCCCCTTGCCGTTCATCTCAGAAAAAAAACTATTAAATGAATTAGCTTTCTAACAGCATGATTAGGAAGACTACATATGGAAGGAAGAGCAAGAAAAACGTTTCACACAATTTCCACATTCAAAGCTCAAATAAGCAATAAAATGCCGCAAATAACACGCATCGCGCTGTGAAAATATCTGGGATATGCAAAATTGCAGTGGAAACGCCAATTACACCAAAAATTTTCGGATTATAATAGTTAGCAATCGCTCTGCGATGGGCATGAAGGAAGCAGCAAAACGAAGACAGCAGCACTTAAGGGCCAGTTATGATATGAGTCACCTATATTTTGTACCAGTTTTCGCTATGAAGTAAATCACAGTATGGATCACAAAAACTTAAACAAATAAAAAAAGAAATGAAGGATTCGTGACGGAAGCACAGAATCGATTACAACCTCAACTTCGTTACTACGTTTCCTGGACCACTTAGTGCCCGTTTCCTGGCCCATTCAGTGTCCCAGATTTCTCAATGCGTTTTGTTGCGGAACCACGGTGAAGGAAACATTAACGATGTCCATAAACACATAAATTACATTCATGATGTCCCAACGAAACAGTCATGCAACATGCTCAAAAAAGCAGCAAAACCACTATCCCGGAAGAAGGGTATCAATTCATTAATATCATAGCGCCAAGGTCATGCAAATACTTGCCAAACCGGTGCTGGATACATTCCATTCGATTTTTCAGTATCATAAATAAAAATAAACGTGACCATAGTAATCACAAGTGATAGACCGAGAAATGACGACGTTTCAAATTCCTCACTGAGGACTTTGAAAACACGAAAACGATTTCAGGCTTTATAATCAGTTAGAACAGAACAGAGGGATTATCTACACGAAAGTTAGACCGGTTCTGCGAAATTTGAAAAACGAAAAGCAAACAATAATTAAAAAGAAAACAGCTCTCACTTTAGGAAAAAGTTATTCCGTAGTGAAATCCAGCCGAAATAGTCGTTGTGTGGTTTTTTAAGGCTTCAACAACTCATTTCGGGAACGTGGCCATGTTCAAAGTCTGAAATGTGCCATTTAAATCACAATTGACAGACATATTAAACAAAACTGCCCTGAGAGTTCACGAGCAACGAACAGAGAACGACGGCCAACTTCACACCCACTGTGCTCTCCGTCTCTGCCTATACTGACTCTGCGTGTCTGCACCCTGCTTTCCCATTTCCGTTCAGGGATGATACTGCGCCGACTCACAGCTATCGGAGCCCAACGAGCGTAGAATTACTTGGTGGGTGGGTTTATTCCTGGACTCACTGTTCCTGTTCCATTCCTATTTCAAGTAGGACCTGGTAGCTCTCAAGGGTGGGGTTTTTATTCGAGTGTCATTTTGATAAGATCTGGACATCTCAGTATTGAGTTATGCCCTATATCACAGTGCCTTGTAATATGTTGCGGTGGGCACCACGTAGCAATTAAAATACCATGAATATGTAAGACCTAGTCGCCCTTAAGAAGAATCAATCCAAAAGTCGAACCCTGGACCATGCGTGTATGACCTGCGCCTCCTGCCACTATACCCTCTACTGCGTAGTGATTATAGACAGTTACAGATAAAGCAGAGCCAACTTAAGGTTGTAGCAGTGGTAAGACGTTTTCTGTGAGAGAGCTCAAGTCACCCCTAATAGGGTAGATTATCGTACCCTGCCGGGGGTTTTCAATTACGTCTGTTCTTCAACTGGAAAACCGACAAGTCAAGTAATTCGGGATTTGGGCTTTTTTTAAAGCAACAAGTGATTCCAATTTTGTTTGCTTCAAAAGGAATCGAAGTTTTTCGCAGAGGTTAGAACAGCCAGATTCATAGAGGATCCCTTGCCAGCAGCTTTCTCATCCCCGTAAATGTCGGACACCATTTTCCCTTTTTTTACCGTTTTAAGCTGTGCACATCAACCTTGAAGGCATCTCTGATTATTCAGTGAAATGAGGATCAAAAGAATCGGTATGCTGGATATTAAGTGAATAGGTGCTAATCACTATCGAATAATAAATGAAGCGCTCAGAATGTATTCGAATGCATCTGAATCGGCTGCTTCATTATCTTGATGTCCGTTCCGATCGCTCTTCAAGACGGATATCAAGACTCCTTCATGGTGACCCTTCGAGAGCATGACATTACCTGACTTGTTGGAAGGAGTCCCCTCATGGTCAGTATGTAGAGAAACATAAGTTCAAACCCCTGTATTTGCCTCGACATCACAGA